ACGACCAACCCTCAATCTGGAGGGAAAAGTGGTCCTTTGAGATGAGTGACAATCTGGAAGTGTCCCAAAAGGCAAATAAACACATGAAACAGGAAAGCCCCCGGAACTGATTGTGTGATTTTTGTTGGGTTTTTTGGGGGGGTTGTTTTTTAAAAAATATATATTTTATTGATTTCTCACAGAGAGCGAGGAGAGGGATAGAGAGTTAGAAACATCGATGAGAGAGAAACATTGATCAGCCGCCTCCTGCACACCTCCTACTGGGAATGTGCCCGCAACCAAGGTACATGCCCTTGGCTGGAATCGAACCTGGGACCTTTCAGTCCGCGGGCCGACACTCTATCCACTGAGCCAAACCGGTTAGGGCAATTGTGTGATTTTTGTACCTTGAGCATTTTACATCTTGCTATTTACTCTAACCAACAAATTAGGCCTTTGTCACAGAAATAAAATATCCTGCCCCCACAATCCAAAAGGCAAGGGGTTATTAATGAAAACTCTGTTAGCTTATCTACTCTGTGTTTGTTGTTGTTGTTGTTTTGTCTTTTTTAAAATATATTTTATTGATTCTTTACAGAGAGGAAGGGAGAGGGATAGAGAGTTAGAAACACCGATGAGAGAGAAACATTGATCAGCTGCCTCCTTTACACTCCCTAGTGGGGATGTGCCTACAACCAAGGTACATGCCCTTGACCGGAATCGAACCTGGGACCCTTAAGACCACAGGCCAACGCTCTGTCCACTGAGCCAAACCGGTAAGGGCATACTCTGTGTTTTATAGACATAAAACATAAGGTGCCTCCAGGGTTCAGTCTTTTTTTTCTCCTCTCACTCCATATACTCTCCTGCAAAGGCCCACTCCACTACTCCCTGGCTCTACTGTTACACAGAAAGGAGTCCCCAAAATGCTCTCAAGCCCACTACACTCTCCTTGGCTCCAGACCAACATATATCCACCTACTGCTGGGAAGTCTTACCGACCCTCAGCTCAACATCTCCAAACTGAAAGTCAGCACCAGCTCCCAAGTCTGCCCACTTCCTACACACTGTGCGTGGCTTGGACCCAGCTGCTAGTCACTCAATCTTGGACTGTTCCCTCAGTCTTCCTTTCTCCCTGGCCCTTCCTCCATCCCTTCAGCCACTTGCCTCATGGTTTTGCTCTCCTTTTTTATTTTTATTATTATAATTTATTTTTATTGTTGAGAGTATTACAGATGTCCCCCATTTCTCCTCCTTTGTCCCATTTCATTGCTTTCCTTTCTGTATCCTCCACAGCCCTTCATTGGCACTGGGCCTTATATCTCCCTAGATGTGTCATGGTGGTCCCTCAACCACCCTGGGCTCAGTGCAACCCTTCACCAATCCATTCCAGTAATCACTGCCAGGTTACCAGTGGAGAACACAATCTGATCAGTCACTCACAAGACCCAAAGATCCCTTGGTGACTTCCTACCACTCTCAGGGTAAAGTTCAAATTTGGGCCTGGTACTCAAGGCCTCTCCCAATCTGCTGCCAGTCTAGCTCTTTAATTTCATCTCCCTCTCTTTACTCCAACCACCAGAGCACTCCCTGCCCTTCTCCCAACAGGTGGTGGGTAGGTCATGCCCTTTACTTCACATACACAGTCTCTGCCCAGGAGGCTCTTTCCCCCATATGGTCTTGCTACTCCTATTCAACCTTCAAAATTTGGCTCAACATTTCTCAGGAGCCCCCACCAAAGGCCAGCGGGATGCCACTCTATGCCCAAAGCAAACTCTGTCCTCCTCTATGGGCGTGCCTCCCACAGTGCCGCAGTTCACCGGCCCATCTCCTGACTCCACTGTAAGCTCCTTAAGGGCAGAGACTCACTCAACTTTGTAGCCACAGAACACAGGGTACAGGCCCTCCTCATGTGAATGATGATTTCAATAAACGTGTGTGGAAAGAATTTTTAAAAACCATCAAATAATGAATTGAAGTTGATTCTTAGTAAAAAGCCTGAGGCTTTGTTTCCTGGATATTATCTCCATTTGGAAAGTGACACTTGAAACAGTCACTGAAATTGCTGTTTCAAGTTAAAAAGGGCTGCTTTCTCTTATGTACAGAGTTGTCATAACAGAAAAGGTATGCTCAAACAGGTAAAACATTGAACAGGGTAAATGTTAAGTGCTTTTTTATAACCTCCTTCATTGTCTTTATGTACTTTAAACCAGAAACCATCTAAAAGCAAACACTTAAGTATGTCATCTGAGGTTGGCTTAGACTGTAATGAGAATTAGGAGCAACAATGCGTGCCCAAGGTCACTTGGCCTGCTGGATTGTCCTGGCAGGTGTGGTCAGCAAGAGCTGGTGAGACCCACCTGCCGGCAAACTTACAGATCCAGGGGGTGAATTTTATTATTGTTATGAAAGGCCAGCTTAGCCCAGTGGCATGGTTCAGTGGTTGAGTGTCGGCCTGTGAACCAGAAGGTCACAGTTCGATTCCTGGTCAAAGCACATACCCAGGGTGCAAGCTTAATCCCCAGTGTGGGGCGTATAAGAGGCAGTTGGGTCGATGATTCTCTCTCACCACTGATGTTTCTATCTCTCTCTCTCTCCCTCTCCCTTCCTCTCTGAAATCAATAAAAGTATATTTAAAAAAAATTAAAATAAAAAGAAAGCCTGCTTAGATTACTTCTACATCCCCCAGAAGGTCACCCTTACTATCAGATGAAAACCACCACACTAGTTTTATTTAGCATCTTGGTTCACTTCAAGAGATATCGGCCCCCATTCCATGCCAGGCAATAGGGGACCAAAGATGAATGCAATGTGACTCCAGCCCTGTTGACAGGGAAAGACAAGCTTCTAAACAGGGCACTCACTACCAGATAAGCACTTCGCTTAAAGGCTTTATCCGAGGGCTGAGAAGATTAGCTGAGGACCCAACTTTCAGAATAAAAGGAAGTGCACATTCGGGGTCATTCCACTGGCTGTAACCTTTATATACTGAGACACTTGTGTGAGATTTCTTTATCTTTTCTCCTCTGGTCTTGTTTCTCCCGGTCTATATCCCTTGACAAGAACCTGCATCCTTGCTTTGAGACAATCACGCAAACATTTACAGATGCCTACTATGTGATGGGGGTAGAATGGGAAGATGGAGCCCTTACCCTCAAGCAGAGGGAAAATCTGTCCAATAATGGGATGGTCCTTTCTAAATGTAATGGCCTGGAAGTCCTTGCTGAGTCCCCAGCAAACATACAATGAAAAAAAAAAAGGAAAACCACCTTTGAGAGCTTCTCCTGGTCCCAGAAAGACAAACTAATGACTTGGAATAAGAAACTCGGAAAGACCACAACACCAGCATCCCAAGCACAGCCACACCAGCCACAGGCCGGTCCTCGCAGCACACCTCTAGGCTATACATAGTCGATCTCTGCCTCCGCACAGCCCGCTGGCCCTTAAACAACCTCTGGCCTTTAATGTCGGCCCGGAGGGTGGTAACCCAGGAGGCCACAGCACATCTGTCTCCATCCTAAGGTCGCAGATGAACACCTGCGCCCACGCCACCAGCACCCCTGCGTGTGTGGAGAAAACCGTGCCCAGAGGTGGCCCATCCCCGACCTCCAGCTGTGTTCCTCCAGGCTCAGATGGCACAGCGCCCAGGGACCCTGTGGAAGTGCTTCTGCCGCTCGACCCAGTGGCCATGCCAAGGGGGCACCCACCGGACAGGGCTCAGGGGCCAGGCGACAGGTGGGCGGGCATGTCATCCTGAGGCAAGTAGAGGGCAGGAAAGGGAGTAGTTGCAAGTCTTCGATGGCAGAACTGTTAGCAGAAATTCTGTTGCAATTTCGAGTCCAGAAGGGGATTTCCTCCCTCCACAGTCAGACAGCAACCCAAGGAAGGGGTGACACGGAGACAACGCCTCTGACTGACGCCTCGCCCGGGGCCGGCCGGCCAGCACGCTGACGGC